TTTGAAGAAAACAGTAATAATACAGTTAGTGAAAATATGTAAAATACAGTGTTTTGTCTTACTCCTTCGTGACTAAAAGATTGCGAATTGAACCGGTACCTGCAAGGCATTGAATATTATCTGATGTTCGAACTTCTTAACAGATAGAATTTGTTGAAAAATATCATATAGTTGATCCTTGAGAAGTGTTAAACCTGCATTAGATTGATTCATCCCACGCAGGCGATTCCTAAATTGTGTTTCTGTGTTTACTATATAGGGCTTAAAAATTAGAAATTTTCGGTCAATCTATTTAATGATTTGGGGGCCGAAAATAAAAACTGCACTCGAAATAATCGTAATTTCGATTATGTCCATAAACGGCACTAAAAAATGTGTTATCAAGCATCCTTAAATTAAATCAACTATCTGTAAATGAGAATTGACGGCCTAAACTTACCTTGTTTGTCTTGATTGGATCGCGTCATCATCCCCACGAATAATCGTATCAAACTTGGTCATCCAATTATTGAGCATTGCTTCCTTTGATATACCATCTAGTTCCGTCAAAGTTTTGATTTTTTTTCTGCGTTGCATCGAAAAATCTGAAACGCTGAAGTTTACAATCAGAAAAATAAAGTGAATTTAAAATCGAAAAGATATCTCACTCAGTGCGATGCGTTATCACCACGATAATCTAATGTGCTGTGGTTTACTTATTGCAGTAATTAAGCTCTGATTGAACAAAAATAATTTACCTCTCTGAAGTCATAATGAGAGAAACCACCAGCTTGAACAACTTTTTGCACTCGTTCAGACTTTAGAAAAACCTGCAAGAACTCAAGAAGTTAGTCGTACCTCATCTTTTTTTCTTTCTTATTTGTGTACATCGACAGTTCAACCATCGAATGTGAAAAATCAGGCTGAAAAACCAACAAAAAAAAAAAAAAACTGAAGTGCTGCACAAATCAGATGTCTTCTCAAACCTCAAGGTACGATTCAACTGCTTTTGTGAATGTTTCGTCTGCTGTAATTTGTGTCTCGCCTGTCAAAAATGACCGGAAACGGTCTTTAATCCTTGGTAGTTCTTGCCTCATAACCTGAAAGCAGAATAGCAATAGCAAGTTGAAATATTAAGCTATACATTGCTTGACATAGTATATCAATCGTACTTTTTGACTTCACTTTAGCAACAGGTTGAAATCAAAACTCCATTTTCTGATTTAATGCAGTCATTACATTCCTATCAAATGTTACTTCAAAAAAATCTTGTAATGTGGAAAAAAACACAACCTTGAACTGTCGCCTTGCCATATCGGTGGGTTGTTTTGCATTGAAATGATATGCAATACATTTCGCAACAAAAACATATAGTTTCAATTTTTGTTTACGTTCCTCTTCTTCGACTTCAGCCCTACAAAAACTGATTTGTGAACGTCTATGGAAGCATCCATTGGTCATGTAGCATGCAGACTCAAGAGTAGACTTAAACCATGAACAAGGACACTGAATTGAATTTTCAGAAACGTGAAAACCATTGACATTTTTATACTATAATGAAGTATTTGAATACTTGACTTTATTAGAATTGTATTATCAAATAGAGCTTCCTTAATCAGTATATTGTCATTATACAATACCATTCAGATGAAAAAAGTTAAGACTTCCAGTGACCTGGAATGCCTGCAAAACGTACTGAAATAAGAATTAGTCTTTTAACACTCCTACGTTATTGATTAAAAGTCAACAGAAACTATTACTTTTCATCATCAGACCATAACTCACAAATTATCGGACTGGGTAAAGCAAAATAAGACGCTCACTTCATCTTTTCTTGTTCTTCTTTGCTCATCTCCGTAGCAGAATCAATGATCATACATGCCGGCGTACTCTGTTCATTTGATACAAAATCATCATCGGAGATTTCTTGCGAAGGCTGATTGATGACTGGCTTGACAACAGATTGCGGAGTGACTTGCCTAGTTTGGCTCTGAAACAAAGTTGCGCATGTATTATCAGAATAATTTATGAAGTTGAGATAATAAACGAATCTCATTAGATTTCTAAATATTCGGAAACCGAGATACCGTTTTCATTACCAGTGCACCATAAGATGCTCCAGAGTCTTTTCTTGTTGTATGTAACGAATCACCACGATGTAACGAATTAGATTGTGAAGCAGAATCTGATGGAGCTGGAGACACAGAACGTGGAGAATTTGATAGTGGAAACTGATGACGTCGAAGGCAAAGGATCTACAAGTAAAGTATTTCCATTTATTTTCTAATACCAAAGTCCTTAAAAAACTGAAAGTCTTCAACAACTATGCAATATATAACTGTTTCTAGTTACCCATGAAGGACGGCAACTTTTATTTTTTTAAAAAAACAAACCTCCGACGTATCATCGTTATCATTGATTAAATTATCGTCATCATCTTCTTCACTACTTGATGCTCCAAGCATTTGTATCTGTAATCCAATTTATTAACAATTCCAAGATGATCTAATCTACACATCGAAAAGCGAAATCAGTTCAAACTGGCAAGGAATAGCGAAATTGAACACATCAAAGGATTGGATAAAAAGAGTTCAAAAGTACGTCAATAGAAAAAGGCGGTCATGAAAATTAAATGATATTCATGAAAGCTGAACAATGAATGACAGAATTACTTGGTTGGTAGCACTAATGGAAGCTACTTGACATCTGCTTAGTCAGCTTCAAAGCGAATTACCGATGACGTTTGCTACGTCGAGAATGCTGATAACCCAAAGCCCCTTTGGCTCTGTTTAAGCGATTGTTAGCATTTTTGTCTAGTCTATCTTTTTTTTAAATATTTGAAGAAAAAAACAATTTCGACGACGTAAACTTCTCACCACTTCCCAGACATCTGTAATAAATTGCATGGAAAAGAAATCGAGGGTTTTATAGCAGACTTAATAATAGTAATGTGGTAAAATTTCCACTTTAGATGGTATATTAGGAGAAGGGGAAAACACTCAATTCTTTCCCGTTTACGTAAGTTATTGCGGTAAATAATTTAAGCAAACAGCAAAGCAAGAGGAGCAAATGAAAGATTCTCTCCCCATACAGAACTTTTTATATTCAATAAAATCGAGCAGATTTGTCAAAATTTCCTAGAAATTCCTAGCATTTCTTTTTGAAATGTCTATAAAATTTGTCTGAAAGTGTTTGGAATTTATGGTAAGAGAATTCTTTTCTCTCACTTAGCTACTAACTTTTTGTGGTCGGTTACGCGTACCTGAACTTTCGACTCTTCTCCCACCCATTCGAAGACTATTCTTCTTAAAATTTTGACAAATCTGC